TTTCCCCCAGACGACAGAACAGAGGGGGAGGGGCGTGGCGGGGGTACTATCTGGAGCTTCCTAGAGGGGCTGCCTCCACAGCAGTGACCTATCCTGTGTTTCCCCTGTCCCCACCAGATGGTCTGGCAGTGGAAGGTAACTCAGGCTGTGTGCCAGGCCCTGCGTGGGAAGAAGGACTTCCCCATGCTGGGGGCGGGCCTGGAGTCCCCCGAGCCCCCCACCTGCCGCTGCGTGGCATACACCTTCCGCGCCGAGGGTCGGCTCTGCCAGGCCACCTACGAGGGCGAGTGGTGCCGGGGCAGGCCCCATGGCAAGTGAGTGACCGGAGCTCCGGGCCGAGAGAGGCAGGGGTCGTTGTGGGAGTCTGAGGACAGAAGGGACCCACATGGACCTAATCACCCGAGGGCACGAACCAAAGGCTATTACTCCGAATCAGTTGGTCAAGCCTGTTTGTCCCCCGGTCTCTCTTAAGCTCTATTGGACAGGACCTGGCCCATAGTAGGTCTGTGCCATGTAGAGTCTTGGTGAGGGTGATGACACCAGAAGGCATGGGACAGGCTTCAGGCGGCTGGCTTGCAGGGCTGCAGTGACTGTTTTCGGGAAGCGGGGGGAGAATAATGCTCATATTCACGTATCACCATCTGGTGGGGGAAATGGTTTGCAGATACCTGGCCTCCCCCAGCCCTTACAAGACCCCCCTGGGTGAGGGTCATCACCCGTTCTGGAGGCCCAGAGGCTGGCATGACCTGCCCAAGGCCTCAGGGCAGGTTATAGGGTGAGTCTGGCTTCAGTCACAGGGAGGTGGGCTTTTCAAGACCCTGTGGCCCCACCGTATGCTCCAGCTGGAAAAGCCAGGACCCCGAAAGCAGAAGGGACTTGCCAAGGTTATGCTCATAAGCACGTTAGTTTCTGATACCTTGCCTGCTTCCAGAAAGGACTTGAGGAAGCAAATGAACAAAAAAAAAAAAACAGAAAAAACAATGCCGTGTCAGAAGAGGGGAGGAGGATGCTAGAAGCCACTGGCTAGCACTTGACTTAAGCTTGAAGTTTAGCTCTGAGCTTCCTGTTGGTCAAGGGAAAAAGGGAACCTGGATGTTTCCAGAGCTTTCCCTGTGGGGTGTGGTGAGTGTGCCTGAGGCTGCTGGGCTAGTTGTGCCAGGAGTCGAGAAGGACTGAGAGCCCCCTGCCGGTCATGGAGCTCAGAGAGAAGGGCTGGGTGGGGGCAGGGAATCCAGTCTGGGGGGAGCTAGGGCTCTCAGAGTGTCTGTGGTGGAGGTCAGCTGGGGGCTGTGTGTGTGTTAAAGGACTGGTCGAGTGGGCCTGATGTGTGTGCCCTTCAACTGTCTTCCAGGGGCACCCTGAAGTGGCCAGATGGCCGGAATCACGTGGGGAATTTTTGCCAGGGCCTGGAGCACGGGTAAGGCTGGGGCTGATGCGGGAGAATGTGGCGGGCGGGGGAGTGGTTTTCACCCCCGCCACCGTCACCAGCCTGGCCCCATCCTAAATCCCCGAACCTCAAGCAGGAACTTAAGGCCATTTGGTCCAGTTCCCCTTATTGCACTTCGGGAAACCAAAGCCCCGAGGAGGGGTGGGTCATGGAAGGAGTGGTCAGGACCGGAAGGTGCTCCCAGGATGCACAGGGGGGCGGGACAGGGGGAGGCGTCCTCAGAGTGGCCCTTGGGAAGAAAAGACGGCTGAGCACCTGGGCGATTCTCCTCATTGTCTGAGAAGGCCCCTTGGAGGTGGGGACGCTTCTGGTGGCAGGGAGGGGTGTCACGGGGTGTCCTGGTCAAGGTGGTAGCCTGGTGCTGACCGCCCCCTCCACACACCCACACTGACAGCTTCGGCATCCGCCTGGTGCCCCAGGCCTCCGAGGACAAGTTTGACTGTTACAAGTGCCACTGGTGGGAAGGCAGCATGTGTGGCTACGGCATCTGTGAGTAAGTGACCCTCGGCGCCATGGCAAGGGGGGCTCTTGGGGCGGGCACGTCCCCTGGGCCGAGCTCCGGGAGGCAGGGCCAGCTGTTGGTGACCCTCTGCAGGTACAGCACCGACGAGGTGTACAAAGGCTACTTCCAGGCGGGCCTGCGGCACGGATTCGGGGTCCTTGAGAGCCCCCCACAGGCCCCGCAGCCCTGCAAGTACACGGGCCACTGGGAGAGGGGCCAGAAGAGCGGCTACGGCATCGAGGAGGATGGTGACAGGTGAGCGTTCCACGGCCGCCCCCCGCAGGGTCAGGGGGCTCAGGAGACCCCCACACACCAGACTGAGCAGGGCGTGGGTCCTGTGGTCAGCGCGTCCCGTCCGTTTGCCCCCTCAGAGTCTCTCTGAAGTCACTCACTTCCTTTCCGTGGCCTTGGTTGTTGCTGAGGCTCAGGATGAGGGAGCCCTGACCTCCTTGATTAAGGAGTCTCCCAGACTGGCCCCTCCTCGCGCTGTCCAGGAGGACTTTCTGACCCCCAGTCTAGTCCCGTGTAGGGATCACAGCCCGTCCAGGCTCTCTGGGCTGTGAGAGGAAGCCCGGGGTCCTTGGCCTTGTATTTGAGGCTTGCCTGTCTCTCTGACCTCACCCGTGCCGTGCTGCCTGCGTGCCCCTCCTAGACCAGCCTTCTAGACCACTGAATGTCCCCTTGTACCTGTCGTACCTGTTGTAGGCTCCTACCTCCATGGCTCTGCATTCCATCATCCTTCCTGCCACCTCGCCCCAGGAAGCCTGCCAGGATACCACCCCCCGCCCCGCCCCGCAGGCAGGCTCCCTCCCTCCCCCATTTTCTGTTTCTCTTGGAGGTCCTGACCTCACTTGCCCCATGTCTGAGTTGAGTAGATTCAGGCGATATCACTGCTCCTTATCCGCTCACCACCCTCACCCCCTGACCCCAGCCCTGCCAGCTTAAAAGTGCCCAGGAATGACTCTGATCCAACTCTGGCTCCTCCCCCAGGGGTGAGCGCTATATTGGCATGTGGCAGGCTGACCAGCGCCATGGCCCAGGGGTCATGGTCACCCAGGCAGGTGTCTGCTACCAGGGCACCTTCCAGGCGGACAAGATGGTGGTGAGTGGGGTGACCCGCGTGTATCCTGAGCCACCCTTTCCCTGCACTGGGGCTGAACCCCCGGCTCTGAGGGTCCGGATGCTAAGCAGAGGCTGGGCGGCGGTGGATGGGGGGGAAGCTGGGTTCCTAGGTGCTAGAGGGAGACAGAACCTCAGCAGGATTCTACCTGCCACCTCCCCTGGCCTTGGCCGAGTCCCTGCCCCTCCCGTCTCGGTTTCCCCATCAGCACCTCAGGTTAACTACTTACTGTAAGCACAGTGAAATCAGCAAGAATGAGGTACATGGTGAGGATGATGCCAGCAGTCACTGCAACTGACATTGATAGACTCTTAACTGGATACCCAGCTCTGGGTTCAGCCTCCCAGCACGATCTCGTGGGATCCTCCCCGTAGTCCCGCGGATCATGTCATCGTCCCCAGTGTATGACTGACAGATGTGAGGCTCAGAGAAGTCAGAGAACCTGCCTAGTGTCACCAGGTCTCCTGAGCCCGGGCACACCAGCCCTTGCCTCCTGCCTCACTCACACCCTGCCAGGTGCCTTGCTCCATGTCTGGCCTGGTGACTGTTACTGTTATTATGGCTTGTACATTTGTTTATGTGGGAAGGGTTGAAGGGGGACAATAAGATAAGAATGGACGCAAAATAGATTCAGATAGGACACAAATTGGATCCTGTTTGGCTCTGAGCTTCCTGGCGGCCAGTGCCACAAGGAAGCCTGGTTGGTTCCACTGTGCCCCCTGGGTCAGTGATAGGGAAGTGGGGATGGGTGAGGAGAAGCCCAGGGCTTCTTGAGCTGTGGGTGGGGAAGGGAGGTCACCCAGGAGGCCTCCTGAGAGAAGCCACTGGAAAGGAGGAGCCAGGTCCCAAGGAGTCATTCAGGATAACCCCGGGATGAGGCCCATGGAACGGGTGCTCAGGGCTTAGCAGGCCAAGGGCTGGCATCCGACCTAGGCACGGTCCTGGGAGGTGTGACAGGGCTCAGGACCCGGGTTGATGCCTGCCTCCTCTCCTCCTGCTGGCCCCTCCCCGGGCCCCATCTCCTGGCCCTTCCTAACTGACTGCTTTGACTCTCTCCGGCTTCCTTCCCTAGGGCCCAGGGATCCTCCTCTCTGAAGACGACTCCTTGTATGAGGGCACCTTCACCAGGGACCTGACCCTTGTGGGGAAGGTGAGGGCCACTGAGACCTATCCCCTCCTGGTCAAGCCTTGGCTGGAGCCTGTAATCTCCCCACTTGGACCCAGGGCTGAGGGTGTGGGCAGTGGGTGAAGGTAGGGAGGTGCCTCTCCCATGTCCACTGCGTCCAGAGGGTGGGCACAGTGACCCCCTGACGTGGAAGTGGACTTCGAACCCTGGTCAGAGTCAAGAGGGGACAGGTGGGTTTGCCTTGGTGCACAGGGTGCTGGCGGCCTGGCCGTGTCTCCCCACAGGCCCCTCGTTGGGAATCCACCCCTTCCACCAGCACTGACGCCTTGGAGTTAGTGTCCTTCAGAATGTTCCTGCCTGGGCTGACCCAGCAGAAGGCAATTGGGTCCCTGCTTGGGCCTTTGGGAATGTGGGGCTGTTTCAGTCTCCTGGTGACTGGAGGGCACTAAGGCATCTAATGGGTGGGCCCCGAGCGCTATGAATGGGACACTCATGAGGAAGGGACTGTCCCTCCCAGGGCCAGCAGGCCCTCAGGCCTTGCCTAGGCCTCTTCCTACTTCTGGACTTACCTCCTCCCCCCGTCCCCTGCCACCAAGTCCCACAGTAGTGGCTCTCCTGCTGTGACCTGAGAGTCCCTTTCTCTCTCCCTGCCAGTCTCCCACCTGAGGTGACCCTTTGGGCCATTGGCACAGCTCTAGGTCAGGGGCTTCTAAGGTGAGGGGATTAGGAGCCCCTCAGGGTGGGGCAGAGTGAACGGATGGTGGGAAGGCCACCCACCAGACGCTAGCCTCTGTGACCCAGGATGGACAAGCAGGAGGCCTGTCATGATTGGATGGGAAGGCAGCTGGACAGACAGACCTTGTCTCCTTCCCTGGTTGCAGGGCAAGGTCACCTTCCCCAATGGCTTCACCCTGGAGGGCTCTTTTGGCAGCGGGCCAGGAGGAGGGCTGCATACCCAGGGCCTGCTGGACACAGCCGCCCTCCCGCCAGAACCAAGTGGCACCCGTAAGAGGTAAGAGCCTGGCCGCCCGGCCCATGCATTCTGGAGCCTGACTGGGGTGTGTCTGTGTGTGTCTGTTTCCACCCCAAGGGCTCAGGTCTCGTCAGAGGGCCTTTTCTGTACGTTCTCTTCGTTCTTTATTCAGTTCCGAGAGCCCAGGTCACACAGCCCTCAAGTCAGAGACTCTTGGAATCAAGGGCTATGGCCTAACTTCGTACACCACAAAACCGGAGAAAAATATTAGGCACAGGCTTTGCTTCCACCCTGCTTTTTTTTCTGGGAAGGGTACAAGACAGTTTGTAAAATAACACACGTAGACAAGAATAAAATGGAAAATAAAAGTGCGAGTTGGACTTCAAGGAAAGAAACATACAGATAGGCCTCACAGTGGTTATGGCTGAGCATGAACCTGGCTCTGAGTTCCCTGGTAGCCAAGGTGAAGAAGGAAACTTGCTAAGTGGACTTATTGTCACTCTCATGGGGTATTTGAGAAGAGGATAGACTTCTTCCCACGGAGACAGAGTTCTTCCTTGGAGAACCGTAGTTCAAGTGGCGACTCTTACTGTGTCTGTCAAGGTACGGATCACAGACAGCATTTCAGATGTGGGGGTGGGGGGGAGGGGGGTGGAGAAGAGTTGATTACTAGACCCTTCCTCTTTGCTTGCTTCTTCTCCCTGACAGCAGGACCTGGGAGTAGACAGCAAACCCCAGAGGCCTGACCAAGCCTGGGTGGGGTGCAGGTGTAGGAAAATCTGTGAGCGTGATGTGCGAGTGCAGCGCTCCACTGGGCACATGCAGCCAGACCCCCGGGCCCGTTGGCCGAGATAAGACCAAGCTCAGGAAGGAACCAGGTGGGGTGGGAGGGAGAACAGGGTCTCAAGGCAGGGGGATCCTGGACTTTGGGCCCGTTAGCTCTTAGGGCCAGACCTTGCTGTCTGGACTTGGCCTCCAGCTCTTCAGATCTTTCTGTCTCCTTTCCAGGGCCCTGTGTGTCCCTTTCTCTCTTCTCCACCGGGGAGCAGATTCTTTCTGTCCCTCTCTCTGCCTCTCCTTTCTTTTCCTGGAGCCTTGGAGGTCAGCCCTCCCAGTCCGCCCCCCTGTTCCTGGGCTCCGACTCTAGGCCAGGTGGGACATCCCCCTCTCCCCGAGGGCCCGGACGGGGTCCTGCCCACCGCAGCTCCAATCCCTGCCTCCCACCCTCCGCCACCTCCATCACAGGCAGCTAGGTGTGGGCGCCTTCCCCGCGGAGAGCCGCTGGCAGGGCGTCTACGGCCCCTTCCGGGACTTCGTTAGCGCCGGCTGCCCTGGGGACTTGCAGGAGGCCCTGCTGGGCTTCCACGTGCAGAACTCGAGGGAGCTTCGCAAGTCCCAGGAGTACCTGTGCTGCGAGAGGTGAGGTGTGGGCGTGTGCGTGAGTGCAGGCACGCGTGCGCCCAGCGGGACATCCGGAGGGCCGGGGTTGGGGGTCTGTGGGACTCCCGCGTGGGCTGGGGAGGAAGGCTTCCTGGAGGGGGCAGGCCAGGACCCAGGTGTGGGTGAGAGATGTGTGTGCGCGGTGCCCCAGGACCCAGCCCGAGGACCGCGCGGGCAGAATGGAAGACGTCCTGGACGAGCTGCTGCAGCACCGGGAGCCCAGAGCCCTGCGGCAGTGCCTCAGGAAGGTGAGGGCCCTTGGGCAGGGGGGTCTGCGGGGAGGGGGCCTCCTCACTGCCCCTGGTGCTGGCCTGAGGGGCCAGCCCGGGGACCCTTTCTGCTCAGAGGGCCTCAGTGTTCTCATCTGTGAAATGGGAGCATTCTTGGGAGTCTTGTCTGGGCTCCAGCCCCTGGCCCCGGTCACCTCTTTGTTGCCTTTGCACCTGCCAGGCTCTGAGCAACTCGCTACACCCCCTGGGAAAGCTGCTCCGGACGCTGATGCTGACCTTCCAGGCCACGTATGCCGGTATCGGGGCCAACAAGCACCTGCAGGCGCTGGCCCAGGAGGAGGTGAAGCAGCATGCCCGGGAACTCTGGGCCGCCTACAGGTGAGCTCGGTGGCCTGCTGGGGACAGCCACAGCCCTGTGGAGGTAGAGTTCTGCTCTTCCCGGATGTCAGGTGCTCTGCCTAGCCCCCTGGGCAGGAACGGTGCCTCTGGATTGAGAAAGAACCGGAGGCCGAGCAAAGGGGTTAGAAGGCAGGGAAATTATAGCACGGACTTCCTGGAGCCAGAGTCGGAGCCTCGACGGGCCCTGAGCTGACCCCTGACCCCAGGGGAGCTCCAGCACACTGCAGGCTGAGCCTGACTCTGGACTCAGACCCCATCTAACGTCAGAGATGGGGGTCCTAGATGCTGTAGTTCCTTCTCTTGTGGGGTTCCAGCGCTGTCAGGCTGACGCCCTGTATTCCCAGCTTCCTAACTGCAGAGGCTTGGGAGCTGGGGCTCTGGGCCTCACGCTCCATGGCTCTGGTGGTGGGGGCAGGTGCAGAGCCCGCTGCCCTGTCCTTTGGGGACTCGGGTTCCATGGGAGGTGGCAGCCCAGCTCTCCCTGTCGTTGGTTTGCAGGGGTCTGCTGCAGGTGGCCTTACAGCGCAAGGGCCAGGCTCCAGAGGAAGACGAAGATACAGAGACAAGGTGATTGCTCCCCTGGGGCTAGGTCCAGGGAAGCCTCTGGAGCCTCCTTCGGAGGATGGTGGGGGGGGGGGCTTCTGGGGAAATCTCGGGGCTCATGCTATCGACCACGCATTGTTCATTGACCACGAAGATCAGAATGACCCACGACCTCTGCTCCTTGAGCGACCTGGGAGGAGGCCCCGCCACAATGCCTCAAATGCATCTTTGTTCAGAATGTGCCATCCCAGCCTCATCTCTCGGGCGTGCAGGGGGTGAGCAGCTGCCCCGGGCACCCTCCTCCCTGCACACAGATGGGGAGACAGGTCTGGCAGGGGCTGAGCCCGAGGTCGCGCAGAGTGGGAGTTGTGTCATTAAGCTTGTCTCCCTAGTCCTCCAAGACCACACCTTCCCGTTCTGCCTTTAGGTTTCAGGCCGAGAGATCCTGATCAGGGAGGCCTGTCACTGCACTGCAGGACGCGTGGGAAACGGGGCTAGACGTTGGGTAGAACTTCCCCTCTGGAGTCCTAGGAAACCTAGAAAACCAGGCGGCAGAACTGGACTAGCCTGGAATGACGGCTGAGTGCTTTGCCGCAAGTCCCTTGTCTGTCCAGGGCCCGGGTTTTGCTTTCAGTCAAATGGGGATCAAATCCCACCCCACTTGCCATTTTGGTTGTGAGTCAAATGAGAGAATCAGGAGGCCCCAGATTTCAACCGAATGAGGGAATGACCAAGAACAGACTTAGGAAGGGCTTTCTAGAGAATGGAGGGGGCGGGGACACTTTGTTGGGGGACAAGGGGCTCTGTGGGCTTTTTGAGGGGCAGCCCCAGTAGGGGTCCCTACCCCCTAGGCTCCCACCCTGCCGGCCCCAACCTGTCCTGGCCACTTTCACTCAGGGACGTGCAGGTGCACGGATTGGTGCTGCCCCTTATACTGCCCAGCTTCTACTCGGAGCTCTTCACGCTCTACCTGCTTCTCCATGAGACGGAGGACGGTCTCTACAGCCAGGGCATTGCCCACCTGAGCCTCTTCCCCGACACCAAGCTGCTTGAGTTCCTGGACGTGCAGAAGTAAGCCTTCCCTCCTTGCCATGCTTGCCAGGGCCCCCATGTACACAGGATACGAAATGCAGTTCAAATTGTCTTTAGCAAAAAAGGGGGTGGTGCTAATTGGCTCGGGTGCCCATGAAGTTCTAGGATTATGCTGGTGTGGCGGGTTTCAGGTGTGGCTGGATCTAGCTATTTCACCTCACGGTGAAGGGAAACACCGTCTCTTTTGATGTATCTCTGGCTCCCATTTATGGTGAAACACAGGGTACCAGCCATTCAAGGTTTATACTCTACCAGCTCAGTCCCCGCACTGTGCCCCAGGGAGCTGGTGTCCCCTTCCCAGCTCCAGCCGGGAGCTGTCCCTCACTGGCTTGGCTGGGGTCTGGAGCCTGCCCCTAAATGCTGGCTGTGGCCCACAGCGGCCAGCCTGCCTCAGTATCTGCCACTGGGGCTGGGGCAGGCGTCCTGCTCCCAGCAGCTGGACTGAGAGTGGGGGGAAGGGAGATCCTCAAGGGGAAACTGAGGACTGTTCTGGGAGCAGATCCCTTCTACCCTCAGTGCCCCTTCTCATCCGTCGATACTATGGGTGACCGCCTGCCCAATGGGGGGCATGGGACCTCTCCTTCCACACCTGGTCTCCCTTGTCACACCGCGATGGTGTTTCCCACCCACCCCCTCCAAAGCCCTGTTTCCCCTTTCATCGTGAATGTCTCCTGCATCTGACTGGTCACCAGCCCAGACACCTGGTTGCCAACCGCTTCCCAAGCTTCCTTCCTCCCCAACTCTTGCTGCTGCCTCTGTGCTGCTTCCTCCATGCTGGCCTCCCTGCTCCATTGTTTCCCCAAGTCCTTGCCCTGTGCTGCACTGCATGGCACCCACATCCCTCCCTGTTCACCAGCCTGCACTGGCTCACCGAGCCTCCAGAACAGTCTCTTCTGCTGTCATTCTCTGTCTGGCCCAACCCCTGGGACTTCGCTCATAGGGTCCCTTGGCCCACAGCGCTGCCCCTCACCCCTATCCAAGTTTTGGGGGGGGCCGTCTTCTCCAGGGATCTGTCCCAGCCTCCCTTGCCTTGGTCTCCATGCGGGAGCTCCAGGGTGCCATTGCGGACCCCTTTCCTGCGCTCAGTCCCGCTACGGGACACGGTATATGGGGGGGTTGCCCTCTGACCTCAGACCCTGCCCCCTCCTCCTGGCAGAGGCTCCGTGTCATACTTGTTTAATTTCAGGCACCTGTGGCCCCTCAAGGACCTCACGCTGACGACCAATCAGGTGAGAAGGTGGGTCCGTTAGCTGCCCCAGGTAAGGGGGAGGCCTGAACCCTGAGCTGGGCCCCCCACGGTTTGCTCAGGCCTCTTTGTGTTTCAACAAGCCCTTGGGTCTGGGGGCCACCGAAATAGGTACCCATAGGGACCCAGTGACTATCAGCTATTGGAATCATTATCTTCTCTATCCATTTTGGTCCCCCCAACCTCCTGGAGACCATTTATCCCACTTCACAGTTGAGTAGACTGAGGCTCACGGTGGAGCTGTGACTTACCGTGGGTCACTCGAGCACTGGCTGTGCTGGAGCCAGTGATGGGGAAAGGTGGGCGGCAAGAGCTCCAGCCCCAGGAGGGCCAGAGGGACGGAGCTGGGGGCAGACCGTGGCCTCATCCAACCTGCGCCCCCCCCACCATGCAGAGACTCTCCCTGGTCAGGGACAAGTGCTTCCTGTCAGCCACTGAGTGTCTGCAGAAGATCATGTGAGTCTGCGCCCTGGGGAGGGTGGGGGACCAGAGGCGGGAGTGATGGGGCCCCTGGTGGGGACTGAACCCGGGCTCATCTCCGCCACTCCTGCCAGTAGCACCACGGGTGGACCCCATGAAGCTGGAGGTGCTGGAGAGGACATACGGGGAAATTGAGGCCACCGTGTCGCGGGTGCTGGGCCAGGAGCACAAGCTGCCCATGGACGACCTGCTGCCGCTGCTCACTCCACGGGTGTCACGCCCGGGTGAGCCCCGGGTTGCTGGGGAAGAGCTGGGGTGGGGTGCCAGGACTCCATCCTTCCTACCCCTGCCCGCCCTCAGGACACAGGCCAGCTCTTCAACATCAGGGTTTCTGAGCACAGCTTTTCTTGGTACAAAGCGGGAGGCGGAGGCCCAGAGAGGCCCGCCTCGGGTCCCGGGTGGGGAGCAGAGCGGGGACCACTTCCCAGGTGTCCAGCCACCCAGGCCGCCTTCCCCAGCCGCGTGGTGCCTGCCCCTGATGGGCCCCTTCTCCCTCTCATTGCGGGGGTGGATGCCTCCAGAATCCAGCACCTGGGAGCCGAGATCCACCTGATCCGTGACATGATGGACCCCATCCACACGGGAGGCCTGTATGACTTCTTACTCACGGCCTTGGAGGTGAGGGACAGAGGTGGTGGACGGGGGCCAAAATACCCTGGTCGGTGGGACAGACCCAGGCGCATGGTGGGATGCCGAACCCACCACTGTCAGGCTTCTGGGGCGGCCTCACCGAGCCTCCGGGCCTGCCCTTGTTGGGGGGGGGGAGGCCCCGCAGTTCACCCCAGCCCCGGGGCCCCGGGACCCTGGGCATGTTCCAGGCTGCATCCCTGAGCGGACCGGGAGAGGGAGGCCCCACTTCCTTGCAGACTGTGGCTGGGGGCTGAGCTGGAGACGTAGTGCTCCCGGCCCGGGAGGCGGCTGTGCTCCCTGGTGTTGGGCCGTGTTTGTGTGGGGCTGGGGGCCGGCAGGCCAGCTCCCCCCTCAGCCTCGCCTGTTTCCCGCCAGTCCTGTTACGAACACATCCAGAAGGAAGATATGAGGCTGCACCGCTTTCCCGGCCGCGGGGACTCCAGACGGCCCTGGTAGCCCGGCCGCTCCCGGGCCAACCGCAGAGCTGAGAGTGGCCGCCCTGGTCCGGCCTGGCCCTCGTCACCCACAGAACGGAGGACAGGAGGGGCCCCTGGAGGCGGTTCCCGGAGGGGAGAGGCAGTTAGTTTCTTCCAGGGAGACGCTGCTGCTGCCTGCAGTGGGCTGAGGGCGAGGGTGACACGCATGGGCCCGGAGCCGGGGGCTCCCCGTCCCCCTCGCCCTGCCCCTAGGTCGGTGTCGGATGACCTCCCTGACCTGCAGCGGCTCACCGGCCTTTTTGCTGCCCGAGCCTGGCTCCCACACGGACCTTGCGGGGCCTCGGCGTCGCCGTCTGTTTACCAGCAGACTAGATGGTCTGTGACGGGCCTTCCGCCCGTCTTGCTGGATCCCGGAGTCCTTCTGGAAGTTTGAATTTTTAGGCTGCCGGGCTGAGATTCTTACATCATCGTCGGTGGTGTTCCCTGTTTCCTGGTCAGAGGCTCCACATTGCTAGTGAGGCCGCTTTTCATGAGGCCTTTTGCCCAGGGGTGGCCTCCTAGGGTCCTGCCTCGTTTCCGACTCTGCCCCGGGACTGAGCTGGTCTCTCTGGGCTGTGGGGCTGGACAAACCCCAGTCCACCCTGACCTGCTGGGTGGCCTCCGGCAAGGTCCTAAGAGCCACACGCCTGCAGCCCACGGGCCCGTGTGCAGGGGGACAGCAGTGGCATGGGGCCATCTGTGCTCTGTCCAGGCTCAAGACCCTGCAGGTGCAGGGGGAGGACAGGGGGTCTCGGGGGCCTTGGGGAGGGGAGGACTTTGTTCCCACAATGGTTTCCGTGTGGGACTGAGAGACACGGGAGCTCCATCTTGGGGCAGCCTCACCCCTGCCTGGCCTCAGTTTCTTCTCCCCACATCGCGGGGCTTCCACCTAGTGACTTGCGGGGGCTCCCCCTGCCCTGTCACAGGAGACGTGTGACAATAGGCGGGGTGACTGATCTGAAGAAGTCCAGGGGTGAAGCATGGGGAGAGGGTGGATTTATGCAGGGATGTAGCCCTGGAGGGAGAGCTGGGCCTGGCCGCCACAGCCGCCCTGCCACCGTGCCCTGGATCGTGAGCAACTCAGGTCACCGTCCTTGGCTCCAGGTGTGCTCTCCATAAATGAGCACTGACCTCGAGGCCCGTGAGGGAGGCTCTCAGAAAGCCCAGCCACTCCTGAGCCCCAGGCGGAAGCCCCCCAGGAGTCCCAGGGTGGGGGGCTGGTGGTGTCTGGGGGCACCCACAGACCCTGAGATGATGGAGGGCAGGAAGAGTGAGGATATCCGGATGCCGTGGGCCTTCGAACTTACCCAGGACGCTGCCACTGCTACTTTAATCCTCTCAACGGTGACCAGCTCCTTCTTGTCCCTTGACGAATAGAACACGCTTGCCTCAAGGCGGCCCTGAGTGGTAGGACGCCTGCAGCCTCACCCCAGAGGCTGCCCCCCCAAGCTCCTCCCAGCCCCCCACACCACCCGGCCTCCGTCAGGATCCGAGAACTCTCACTGTAGCTCCGATTCACCAGGACCCCTCCACCCACCCTGTGGCCGGGCCTTGCCCAGTACCAGCGGAGCTGGAGCCTCTGGACAGGGACAGGAGAGGCCGAGGGCGGCCGCGCTGTGGCAGCCAAAACCCGAGACAGTGAGGACATTGCCAGCCGAGGTCAGTGCTGCATTCACAGAAGAGACGCTTGGAACCGGGCAGCCAGCCTGCCCCGTGGGCGCCTCGGGAGGCTGATGGAGACCGGTCACCTGCGGGGACCCCAGCGAGGACCTCTCCCAGCTGCTGCGGGAGCCCCTTTGGCTGCAGGGTCCTACGTCTCGGGAGGTCAGGTTGCCCACCAGGACCTCACGATCCCCTGTGCCAGAGAGCTGTGAGCCCAAGGGGGCCCCGTTCCTTGACACCTGCAGGTGGCTTTCTGACAGGCTGCATGGGGCCGCACCAGCCCTGTCCCCGGGGGCCTGGGTTTGGGGCTGAGAGAGAGACACCCGAGACATTAAATGACCTCTCAGTGAGCAGACGTGTTGGAGTCACAGCCTGACCACCCCGTCTCTTCCACGGCAGCCCTGGGCCTACGTGCGGCTTCCCATGGAGCCCCTCGACTCCTGCTTCCTGCACCCGCATTTCCCTTCCGCCTGCTCTCCAGCTCCTGCCCCTCGTCGTTCTGTGCCCCACACGCGCCCTCCTCCGGTCCCCTGGGTCCCAGGCTGCTCCATCCTCACAGGCCCAGCTCACGTGAGGCCCTCATGTCCCAAGGAATGAGCCCCCCGGCCCCGCTCCAGGGCCCGCTCCCTGGCCCAGTCGTGTTACTGGTGCCTGACGGTGGGTGCCTTCTCCCCCGCCCTCGATCTCCAGGCGCAGCAACGCCCTCCGCCTCTCCCTGGGCCAGCAGCGATGGCAGTGAGCGTGAGGGTGGAAACAGGTGGACTTGGGAAAGGTTGGACTGTGAAGGACCCCAGCCCCGGGCCGGGTCCGCATTCAAGACTGGCCGGGGTGGCATCTGTGAAAACAGAAGCCCCTCGGGTGTGACCAGCACAGGCAGGGACCCACGTGGAACGGAGGGCTGGCCACGCTCAGGCCAGGAGCAGCCGGGAAGTTGTTGCCAAACCCTCAGAGAAAGGAGGGAAAAGACAACGCCCTCTCTGTCTGGGGCTCAGGTTCCTGTCCCCGGGGCACCACACCCGGCAGCAATGTGGCCAGTCCAGCAGGTTGTCTCCGGGCGCTAATCTGTTGCGGGTGTTGCGCTCCCACGGCAGGAAATGTCACGAGGCGGCCAGGTTACACCTGTTGACCAGTTGTGGCTGGTGGAGATCGGTCAGGGCACAGAGGGGCCCCACGAAGCCCCCCGCCTCCCTCCCTCAGTCAGCGAGCCTCACCAGGGGCCTCTTGGATGCCAGCCCCGTTCCCTGCACAGGCTACAATCTGGGACGTGGCCCAACAAGGCGCCAGCCCTCTTCAGGTGAGAAGGGCCAGCTGTCCTCCCAGAAAGGGACCGATGGCAGGGAGTAGAGGAAGCGGGAGAAGCCGAGTCCACAGCTACTGAGAATGGAAGCTGCCAGGCATCTAGAGGGACGCCAGTTCTGACTAGGCCTCTATTCTGATCGCCCCCAAGGGTGCTGGGAGCCAGGGCACGGCCCAGACAAACCCCTTGCCCACTGCAGCCTTGGACAAGGCTGGAGGGAGAGTGTGGGGGGCAGCCAGAGGGGCGCGGGGCTGCTGGAGAAGCCTTAGCAATGCTAAAGCGAGGCCAGCCCTCCCTGAGCGGGGACCTAAGTGAGCCTCGTGGCCTCAGCTGTCGTCTCTCCCAGAGGGATGGCCGCCCACCGTGGGACCAGTGAGGGGCAGGGACTGCCCTCCTGTGGCCACTGGGGAAGGGGTAAGTTCAGGGTTAGAGTCAAGGTCAGTGTTAGGGGTTAGGGTTAAGGTCAGAAGCAAGGTCAGTGTCAGATTAGAATAAGGGTCAAGGTTGGAGCTCAAGTTAAGGTTAGAGTGAGAGGAAATGTCAGGTTCAGGTCAGTTCAGGGTCCTGGTCCAGGTCAGGACTTTACTGGTTGGCCTCGCCCAGGGTTGTGTGGACGTGAGCTCTGGCTTTGACTCTTGCTATGGGCCGGAACCAGGGGTGGGGGCCAGGCTGCCAAGGCCTTGGTGTCCCTGTGACCGTGGCCCAGTTCCTCCCCAGACTGGGTCTTGTTTGCTGTCTCTAAGAACCCTCACGGTGCAAGACCACTGTTCTGCCATCCGGGGAAGGAAGGGGAGAGTGGGCAAGAGGTGAGGCTGGGGGTCTGGCGCCGTGACGGTGCCCGGGCAGCGACCCCTTCCAGATGTGGTGCTGGTGCCGCTAGAGAGAAGGGCTCAGTTTGCAGAATGGGGCTGGAGTCACTAAGTACAGTATTCATGACCCACCCGAGGCTGGGGGCTACGGCCTGGCCCCTGCAGCGTCCTGTTGCGGTTTTAAACAGAAACATTCATTGAGCGTGGCCGGGACTCCAAACCGGTGGAAGTAAGTAAGGCCCGCTGGTCCCCTGTGTTGGGGAGCGGCCGGTGTCTGGGCTCTCTCCCCCGGCGCCAGGGGCGGGGGGTGGTAAGGAGGGTTTGAAGCCTCGTATCTATCCGAAATTCGCATCTGAGCTTTGCCAAACAGGAGATCTCTCAGCCCTGGCTCATCAGCAAATCAGAACCCCGGGGGCAGAGAACAAGGAGAGGCTGTGAAGGGGAAGGGGGGTCTAAGGGAGTATTCAGCTGCCCCCCTCACCCCCGGGCCAAGCAGTCCTGTGACGCTTGCTGGGCAGTGCAGGGGTGGGGGGGACACAGAGTTAGCCAGAGCGCTTGGGGTACCCTTGGGTGAAGGCTGCCGGTGGCTGGGGACAGATGACCCCTGGATTTTCCCTGGGGACAGTGACCCCTTCCCTTGCTCTGCTGGCTGGAAAGGACCTGCAGAGGCTGGTCTGCCCAGGGCAGCATCGAGGCTCTTCCTCTGCGTGTCCTGAGCTGGGGCGGCTATGCCCAGGACGGGGAGGGGCCTGGGTCTGTGTGGGGAAGGGCTGGCAGTCCTGCTCGTCTTACCCAGTCCTCCAACTGTCACTTCCAGGCCTGCCTTCGGAGGCAAGCGCTCCCCTGCCACCCCCGACATCTGCAGTCCTCAGGAGACGAGTGGTGGGAGAAGAGAGAGCAGGGGACCAGCCATGCACACGGGACCTCCCTGAGACCCAGGTCTCGGGGCCACTGCTTCATCCAAAGGGACCTTCTACACCCTGCTGGTCATACGGCCGCACCAGGCTCAGTTTCAGGAACCAAAAGAACATAAGAGGAACCAGGTGCAAACTGTCAGTTGGTGGGGGGCGCCTGGGTGGCTCAGTCGCTTGAGCATCTGACTCTTGATACGAGCTCGGGTCGTGACCCCAGGGTCATAGGACCTGAGCCCTGCGTCGGGTCCGCACTGGGTGTGGAGCCTGGTTAAGATTGTCTCCCTCCCTCTGCCCCTCT